GGTTTGACTTAGTCGTATAAACTCTACCGTCTTGATCACGTGTAGGCTCTGCTCAGATGGATGTAGTGATACCAAGGCCCACCTCGTAAGAGGTGACATTTTGACCGCTGTCCATTTTTCTTATTTTGAAAAATTCTGGCCAAGTGTAAGTTGTCACCAGGTGGTCTATAATTAGGAGGTAGTAGCGCGCAGCCCCGTATCGTGAGAACTGGGATCCATGCCTTTGCCCCTATTACCTTTTTGGGTAGGAGTACCTCGTGGGGCCGCCTGAGGGGCGCGCTAAGCCTGCCCCTCGGTCTTACGGGTACCTGATTTTAAGGGAGAGGATGGGTGGGGCATGTCAGGGAACAAATTAGGCCACAATAATCGTGGAGAATAAAAAAAGTTATGAGGGGAAGTTGGGAGCGTACTCAAACATCGGGCGGGGACACTGAAAAATGCTTTAATATCATCGCTAACCCCCCACTAGACCAACGTCGAGCGCATGTATGTAAGGGGAGGTGTGCCCTGACCTCGGGCGAGGTCATTGAAGTACATTTTTAAGTAGCACCGCCAACCCCCAAATGAAATAAAGGCGAGTAAGTGAAGAAGTTGGGAAGATTTTTGAATTCACCCTACTTAAAATTTGGTAAGTAGGCGGTTATTCCCGTGGTTAATGGGAAAGGCCGTGGTTCACCCTACAGGGGGGGGGCGCGTGCGCAAGTGCTACTTTCAACTGTTGGAAGAATGCCTCTAGAAGGCAATTCATATTTCAGGATTCCGTTTAAGAATGCTGTTATACTGGCTGCCGCCGGTCTAGTTGGCCACCCTTATTGGACACGATCGTTTCTATGCCAGCGCCTTCGTTTTTATTTTCAAGGTCACACTGCAACACATTGTTATCCCTCATCACAACCCGCTGGCTACAGAGTCTCTCCGGAGGCACCGAAAGCTTATGGTAATCATTCGATGCTTTTGTTCTTCAACCGCCCCGGAGATCTCGGCATTAGAGTCCTAACCGAACGCTCCTCCTCTGTCTTGCGGTTGCTTCTTAACCTTGTGCACTCTCTTTTCCCTCCACTTGTCCTTGCTGTTCGTAAAAACTTACCAATTGGTGATGATTATAATTAACAGTCTTCGCCCCCACAATGGGCAGCGCGGTAGATGCGTTAGACCTGCATGGAGGCTAGATCAAGGTAAACAGGCGTTACTGGGGATGTTTGTGATAGCACGCCAAGGCGCAGACTCACGCCACACCTACGTCCGATCGCGTCATCAATCTTCCAGACTCTGTCATGGCGTCAAACTCGGGTTGCTGAAGGGAGAAAGAACGCGGTAGACGCTTCACAAGTCTACTTACACTTAGTCGTGCGCAAGTCCCCATCTCTGCTGTAGGGGGTACACGTTTTCGGAAAAGACGGTCAAACTGCCAATTAATGATCTGATATTTTGGTCTTGTGCGCCTGATCGCGACGCTAAATCAGGTCAAAGTGCATTAGCCTGCTTCGAAATCCTTGTCCAAACAATTCAATTGTTCGGGGTAGATAGATTTAGGATAACTTTCCCGCTGAAGTCTACTTGTATGTTCATCTTTTCCCCTTTAGGACATTTGTCAATTGACGTCGGGTGACATCCCCCACTGGATGACTAATTTGGACTCCATATCTCGTCTTCTGGGCCTGGAACTGATAGAATCCATTCTGATCAACTACCACGGTATTTTTTCCAAGGTGAGCCATTCTCATTTACAAGAAAGATCAGAATTGCCGGTACTTAACTGTGCGTGCCATAGGAAGAAATAAAAATACGTC